TTTCTCAGAGTCCACAGTCTCTCATGCTTCATCACCCCCTCTGATTTCTCCCAATTCACTTTTCCTTTCCTTCTCCTAATATCCTCCGTGTTATTCCTTATGCTCCACAAGTAAGTGAAACCAATATGTCATATGTCAATATGATAATTGACTCTCTGCTTGACTTATTTCACTCAGCATAATCTCCTCCAGTCATGTACATGTTGATACAAAAGTTGGGTATTCCATGTTATTCTTTATGCTCCGCAAGTGAAACCATATCATAATGAACACGGAGGACATTGGGAAAAGGAGAGAAGTGAGTTGGGGGAAATTGGAGGGGGAGACAAACCATGAAAGACTGTGAACTCTGGGAAACAAACGGAGGGTTTTGGAGGAGAGGAGGGTAGGAGATTGGGTCAGCCTGGTGGTGGGTATTAAGAGGGCACATATTACATGGAGCACTGGGTGTGGTGCATAAATAATGAATCTTGGAACACTGAAAAAAATAAAACTAAAAAAAAGTTGAGTATTCATCCTTTCTTATGGAGGCATAATATTCCATTGTATGTATGGACCTTATATTCTTTTTTTTTATATTTACTATATTCAAAAATTTAATGATTTTTTAAAAATTTTATTTTCTTTTCAGTGTTCCAGAATTCATTGTTTATGCACCACACCCAGTGCTCCATGCAATACATGCCATCCATAATATCCACCACTAGGCTCACCCAATCCTCCATGCCCCTGCCCTCCAAAACCCTCAGTTTGTTTCTCAGAGTCCACAGTCTCTCATCGTTTGTCCCCTCTTCCGATTTCCCCCAACTCAACTTCTCTGTCTCCTAATGTTCTCCGTGTTATTCCTTATGCTCCACAAGTAAGTGAAACCATATGGTAATGAATTCTCTCTGCTTGACTTATTTCACTCAGCATAATCTCTTCCAGTCCTGTCCATGTTGATACAAAAGTTGGGTATTCGTTCTTTCTGATGGAGGCATAATACTCCATTGTATATATGGACCATATCTTCTTTATCCATCCATCCGTTGAAGGGCATCTTGGTTCTTTCCACAGTTTGGCTATTGTGGACATTGCTGCTATGAACACTGGGGTAGAGATGGCCCCTCATCTCACTACATTTGTATCTTTGGGGTAAATGCCTAGTAATGCAATTGCAGGGTCATAGGGTATCTCTATTTTTAATTTCTTAAGGAATCTCCACACTGTTTTCCAAAGTGGCTGCACCAACTTGCATTCCCACCAACAGTGTAAGAGGGTTCCCCTTTCTCCACATCCTCTCCAATACATGTTGTTTACTGTCTTATTGATTTTGGCCATTTTAATTGGTGTAAGGTGGTATGTCAATGTGGTTTTGATTTGAATCTCCCTGATGGCTAATGATGATGAATATTTTTTCATATGCCTGTTAGCCATTTGTATGTCTTCCTTGGAGAAGTGTCTGTTTATGTCTTCTGCCCATTTTTTGATGTGATTATCTGTTTTGTGTGTGTTGAGTTTGAGGAGTTCTTTACAGATCCTGGATATCAGCCCTTTGTCTGTATTGTCATTTGCAAATATCTTCTCCCATTCCGTGGTTTGCCTCTTTGTTTTGTCGACTGCTTCCTTTGCTGTGCAGAAGCTTTTGATCTTGATGAAGTCCCAAAAGTTCGTTTTCACTTTTGTTTCCTTTGCCTTTGGAGACGTGTCTTGAAAGAAGTTGCTGTGGCCGATGTTAAAGAGATTACTGCCTATGTTCTTCTCTAGGATTTTGATAGATTCCTGCCTCACGTTGAGGTCTTTTATCCATTTCGAGATTATCTTTGTGTATGGTGTGAGAGAATGGTCAAGTTTCATTCTTCTGTACATAACTGTCCAATTTTCCCAGCACCATTTATTGAAGAGACTGTCTTTTTTCTACTGGATATTTTTTCCTGCTTTGTTGAAGATTATTTGACCATAGAGTTGCAGGTCCATATCTGGACTCCCTACTCTGTTCCACTGGTCTATGTGTCTGTTTTTGTGCCAGTACCATCCTGTCTTGGTGATCATAGCTTTGTAATAAAGGTTGAAATCAGGCAATATGATGCCCCCAGTTTTGTTTTTCTTTTTCAACATTTCCGTAGCAATTCAGGGTCTTTTCTGGTTCCATACAAATTTTAGGATTGTTTGTTCCAGCACTTTGAAAAATGCCGGTGGAATTTTGATTGGGATGACATTGAAAGTATAGAGTGATCTGTTTAATCAAAAATGACCAATGAAAACAGATCCAATCATCAAAAATAGATCAAAGCAACAGAATAGAGGACCCAGAAATCTGTACATAATTGGTCAATTAATTTTCAACAAAGGAACAAAAAACAGACAATAGGGAACGAATAGTTTCTTCAATAAATAGTGTTGAAAAACTGGAATTCACATGCAAAAGAATTAAATTGAACTCCTGTCTTTCACCTTTCACAAACATCAGCTCAAAAAAGATTAAAGACTTAAATGTGAAACTGAAACTGCAATACTCCTAGAAGAAAACAAACAAAAGAATATTTCTTGGCATTGTCCTTGCAGTTATTTTTTTTTTAATTAATATGACAACAAAAGCACAGGCCATTAAGCAGAAATAAACAAGTGAGACTGTATCAAACTAAAAAGCTTCTGCATACAAAGGAAACAACAAGAAAATGAAAAGAACCTGTGGAATGAGAGGAAATATTTGCACAATATATGTTTGACAATGGGTTCATATTTAAATATATATAAGGAACTTACACAATTCAGTAGCAAAAAACCCACAAATAGTCCAATTAAAAAATGGGTAAAGAAACAGGCATTTCTTAAAAAAGGTTGCCCAAATGACCAGCTGATATGTGAAAGGTGCTCAACATCACTAATCATCAGGGAATAAAAGCAAAACCACAATGAGATATCACCTTACAGGATGTCTGTTATTAAAAAACAAAACTGAAAAAAAAAAAGACCAAAAAAAAAAAAAAAACAAAGAAAGAAAAGAAAAGAAAATAGCAAAAACAACATGCTGGTAAGGATGTGAAGAAAAGATAACCTTTGTTAGTGGTAATCTAAACTGTTGCAGCCATTATGGAAAACAATATGGGTATTCCTCAGAAAACTAAAACTAGAACTGTTATGATCCAGCAATCCACTTCTGGGTGTATATCCAATGGAAATGAAATCAGAAGAGATATTTGCATTCATGTTTATTGCAGCATTATTCACAATAGCCAAAGTATGAAAACAACCTAAGTGCTCATGGATGGATGAATGGATAAAGGAAATGTGAGATAGATGTACTATAGAATATTATTCATCCTTTAAAAAAAAAAAAGAAGGATCATGCCTTCTGTGATAACACAGTTATCTCAGAGGCTAAGTGCAGTAAGACAGAGACTGAGAAAGATGCTGAATATTATCACTTACGTGTGTAATCTAAAAACAAACTAACAAATGTACGGTAGAATCATAGTTGTCAATGGACTGGGGGTAGGCAAAAGAGGAGATGTTGGTCAAGGGGATACAAGCCTTCAGTTACAGGATGAATAATTTCTGAGGATCTACTGTATAGCCTGGTGACTGTAGTTAATAATACTGCATTGTATACTTCAAATTTGCTAAGAGAGTAGATCAATACACACATGAAGGTAACTAATGAGGTAATGGATGTGTTTAGATTGTTAAAATTTCATAATGTACATGTATATCAAATAATGTTGTACACTTTAAATATATATAATTTCATTTGTCAAAAACAAAAAGCCTCCCCTGCCAAACACACACACACAGACATACACACACAGAAGGCAGACCAGTCTTACTCATAATAAAAAGTGAAATTCTTTCAATAAGCTCTTTCACAAAACAACGTGGCATTGAGAATTGATTAAACTACATATTTAAAAAATTGAAATAACCTTGGAAAAAATTGGGAAATTACTTATTATTGCATCAATCAGCTTTTAGCTGTGTCAACAGCCCTACATTTTGTCTCCAGTAATGTTTTTCTATATTATCGTATATGTATTTTTTTTTCTGATGTGTGTATTCTGTATTCCATTTCCAGATGTGTTTCATTTGGGGGTTATTGTATAAACAGGGCCCTAAAAGAATCAACTGTGTGTGAGAAAAACAATATGATGAACCAAAATAAAAATAGTATCCACTTAGGTAGCATTCGTTTAGGCAATATTATGGATAGCAATAAAATTCTTATAAGAAGATATATTTTTGCCAAAAAGGAAACTGGTCCCTTTGCATCCCAGCCCAAAACAAACTTTATTGGATTATTATTTTTAAATTTCACACATCTTATTTTTTTCTAGGTTCTGCACATTTTTTTTTTTTACTTTTTTTGGGGGGGGCTTCTAGGATGTCATAAATAGCAATAGTTTCACTAGATTTTGGAATAGGTGTAAGAATAAATATATAGGCTACAGAAAGCACACAAAAAAGCCAATTTCTTATTGATTTGATAATCTGTGGTTGGATTCACCATTATATACTGATTTTGTTGAATATCATTGTGCTCATAGGATCGTGAAATTTGGCATGTAATTTGTATCAAAAGTGCTCTCTGTCTCATTTTAAATAGCAATAGCTATAGATTAATCACATAACTCTATGTGGAATCGTATTAACTGCAATACAAAACTATCTCCACCAGCATGACTCCTAGTTTTGGAACTGAGTTTTGAATGGATTATGTTGATGTCCACAGAAAGATCAGAACTAATAAAAGAACTAATTGTCATTAATCACTCTCTTTTCTGCAATCCCATAGTACTTTATTAGTTCTTAATTTAAGAACTTAATTCATTGGGCTTTGATTTAGTATAATTTCTCTGCAGGATCATCACCTCCCACAAACTGTGAGTTTCTTGTATGGTGTCCTGTTCCACTTATCTTTCATATTGCACATCTATTAATAATCGTTCACATATTAAATGGTTATAACTCAACAGAATACTTTTTTTTTCCTTTTTCTTAGAGTGTTCTTTTTAAATTTCTTCCAGAAATTTGGTACAACTGTATAAAAGTGAAGATGACACAGAAATTTCAAAGAAGATTAAGACTCACTGGACTTCTTTGGGCCTAGAAGATGTACAGTTTGCAAATTACTCTGTGCTGCTTAATCTGGCAGGCCCTTCTGCCAGCTCCGTGACTCTGCGCAGCAGCGGCCAGTGCTTTCATCCTAATGGCCAGCCCTGCAGCGAAGAAGCCAGAACACATAGCAGCCAAGATCTGCTCTACTCCTATGCAGCCTACTCTGCCAAAGGAACTCTCGAGGTAATATGACCATTTGTCTCTGTCATTTATAGTGAAATGGAATTAGAAAACAACAGCTTTCATCTAAATTGAACTAACTGGCAAGATGCAACATAAAAAAGTAACCATTAAATGTTCTCCATGTGGAGGTGCCAGGGAAGAGGAAGGAAGATTTGGATTGGCTGACCTTTTCTCTTGTCATATTTTAAAAATGAAAGCATGCTAGAAGACTTTAATTCCAATGTGTTGAATATGTGATCGAGTTATTCACATTTTTCTTAGTTGGTATAGGAACATGTTCATTTTATTTTGGGAGGTTTGGAAGAGGCAAATTTTAATGGATTGATATGGTCAGAAGGCGTAGAAATGAAGGCAGTTGTGTTTTGAGATCGTGTGTACACCTAAGTAAGGAAGTGGAAAATCGATGTGATTATTCACAGATTTAAGATTTGAAATATAGTGCTCCTGCTTTCTTGATGGAAAACACAGGAGATAAGGAGCCAGGTATAGATTATTGCTTTACTGCTTCTAGCTTAGCTAGTTTTTTGGCTGGTGCTGAAGGGCATGCCTTCTGGAGCCACATACATGAGTTTCAAATCTCAGTTTCCTAATTATCCACTGTTACTTACCTCTCTAGGGCTGAGTTCCCTCATCTCTGTGATGGAGATAAAAATAGTTCTAGCTTTATAAGGTTGTTGTGAAAATTAAACTAGTTAACATATGGAGACCTTGGAGAACAGAGCCTAGCCCACAAAATACCAGTTAGATACAATATATAATTGGTCCTGTTTCCTCATTTAGGAACATTTTCTGTCTCCATGTAAAAATACCATTTTAATAAACATACTTAGTTTTTGTTTCACAAACCTTTAGATTGCCTCATTCAATACAAATGAAATAATTATATGTTTCTGATTGTTGTTAATTATTGGCATAGCTTTTTCAGACTGTTAACTCTGATTAATACATTAAGTATTTAAATCATTTGAAGTTCCTTCACAGATACATTCATCGTTTTTGTTTTTTGTTTGTTTGCTCTTCATTTTAGGAGGAGGGTGGGGAGTGAGTTCTTTTACTGGTGGTTTAGCATTTGCACTCTGTTACATCATTCTCTGACTTTTAGTAGAAGAACTGCATATAACTACTACCATGGAAAGCCTTATTATTAATTAAAAAATTAATATAATATTAAATGTCTGCAGTATTTATAGGGCAGGACTCATGTAATTTGATTTGATTAATATATTACTATTTCTGGTTAGGCTATGATGGGAGAGAACCTGCCAGCACCCTTTTGTTGGTTCAGAAGCTCTAGTCTCAAGTCAAGAGTCTAAAGTTATTCCACAGATTTTCTTCAGATTCCGCAACTTTCATTAGCCCCCACACATTTCCAACACCCTCTCTATTCCCAGTTGATTTAGCCCAGTAATCTCCTTGCCTTGAAAACAAAACAAAACATGTCCGAAACACAGAACAACAACAAAACCCTCAGGAGCTTGAGTGGGTCCTTGGAATACATTCCTCAACTATTTGCTTTTCAATTTGCTTTGGCAAATTACTTACTATTCCTTGACCTAGGTGATATGGAAAAGCTATAACATCACAATTTGCATCCCTCTTTCCTCAGCAGGGCCCTCTGATAATCTTCTGGGCCATTGGATTGTTTTTTTGTGTTTCTTTGTAGCCACATCTCTGAGAATTTTCTACACATTTGTCTCATCAGTTATAAATGTTTCAATTTCCATTGTTGCATGTAAAAGAAACCAACGTCTACTATAGAATCAGAGAACTACTTAAATGCCCTTGAAAACATAAGTCATTTGGGGACCATCTACCACTTATAAATGCTGTAAAATCTACCATTTTTAATAAAGAAAGTTTTGAAGAAGCTGCTAAAAGGGAAAAATAAACTTTGCTGGTGATGTAGAAATATACTCTATGGTTGAAATACAGACCTAAATTAAAGGTAATAATGTTAAAGGAATTAAAATGCAATTATGTATAAAACAAACACCTTGTATTTGAAGAACATAATTTGAGAAATTAACCATGTAAATTAGATGAAGGCACTAACTATAACTATTTTTAGAATTATATTAATAATTCAAATCTATTATACTAAGTACATAATAATTTAAATATTTATATTGATAAACTTATTGATGTTGATTTTTTTAAATTTAAAAGATATTAGCATTATGATTTTCAAAAGCAAAGTAATTTCTAGGTGACTACCTTATATGCATGTGGAATATTTGCATATATTTTATATATAAGTTTTAGACTGATGTATTATTGAAACTCACATATTCTAATTAATAGAGTGCGGGTGATTTTCTGTATCTCTTCAGACCACTCTTAATTAAAATCAAGCTTGAGAGGTTGCTGCTGATGATTCAGGCATACCTACTTTTTGATTTTGAGTACATTGTATTTGCATGAATTTCTATCAGGCTGAGCCATTAACAGGTTCTTAAATTATTCTAGTCTGACTGCCAGCAAAGCTCCCCACTACTTTTGCTTTTGACAAGGTTATTTGTAGAAGAGGAGTGCCCCTTTTCTTTGAAGAGCTGTCATGTCCCTTCATCATATGACCACTTTGTATAAGCTTCCAATTCTTGCTTTCTGGTAACAGTCTAAACAGCATTTGTGATATCTGAGATCTACTTTGAAAACCTACTTAGTGCCAGTATGATGGATGGTGTACTTTGCAACTTCTTTGTAATTCATTGTGTGCCAGAAAGGTGACATTGTTTACCCCATCATAATGACAGGTGGGTCAGTAGAAGGGTCCTAAGGAGAGTTGTCCTGTCAGATGCAAAATACATATTAAAATGGATACATAAATAATTTAACATGAGTGAGGTTAGCTTCAGGGAATAAACAGTGATTTATATTTTTATTAAAAGATAAATATCAACTATAATATCATCATACTGTTAAAGACATTGGTAGTGAGTGCTGACAATGTCTAGTCAGTCTCATAAATAGAATATATGGCCTTATGTAATTCCTGTGCAATTATTTCTTTTGTCCTTTGTGAAACCCACACAGATGCAGAAAAGCAAAGGCAATGATTAATATTTAATATAGGTTGGTGATATTTGAATCTGTATGTTTATATTTTTGAGCAGAGAATTTGTTTTCATGTAAATATACTTCATAGATTTGGGAATTTTTTTTTCTGTTAAGTATTATTTTGTGTCTGCAAGTAAAAACAAATAATATAATTTTATGGAGAAACTTATTTTCAGCAACTCATTAGCCTTGTACAAGATAGATTGTCATCAACACATTTATCACTGTTCTGTTTCTCAGAGAGCACCCTGCCTTATTAACTACACAAGTGTGGGTTGGTCATTTTAGTTCTCTAAGCCTCAGTGTTCTTATCTGTATAGGGGGAAAAATAATAGTACCTCAGTTGGTTGTGGGAACGAAACAATGCAAACCATGTAGAGTGCATTGAGTGCACTTAGCACTCTGAAATTGCTAGCTGTTGTTATTATGTGATATAAAATAAACACATTTAAATGTGAGGAATTAAAATATGAGAACTATACAACATGATTTGGAAGTACAAACTTCGTATCATATTGTCGAAATGTAATCTTCCTGTCTTTTGTTTAAGATGACAAATATTAATCATTAGGGAGGAAAATGCCTTGTTAAGCATGAATAAATAATAAAGTATGTATAATATCTGATTATTTTTTAATTTTAAGCTAAAAGCTCAAAGAAACTAAGAGTAAATATTTAATTTTTGAATGCAGAATGAAAAATCATGGCAACATAGGCCTGAAGAGCATTGCTTGTCTTCCTTTTGTAAAATATCAAGCCATAGTATAATACATGAAATCTAAACAGTATGTCAAATTGTATCAAGTAGTCTTAAAGAGAAAAAATAAAACCACTGCATGGAGTCCTTGGAGAACTTATGTCTATTTTCTCATATTTAGGAAAACTTTGTCTTTCTCTTTTAATATTCTCAAAGAAAAGCAAAGTTATCGAGTGTTATGGCAAAAGGCAGAGCTCTATATGTTTGGCTCTGAATGCTTCCTGTTATAGATTTAAAAAGATTATCAGAAAGCTAAATAAAGGGAGTAGAATGGAATTGCATTATTTAAACTTTTGTTGTTTGGGTAAGAAGATGAAGCTACTGTCTCACTAACAGAAAAATGTGATCTTGGTACAAGCAGTTTTTCAATGTTGAAAATGACTTTGCATTTTATTTGTCTCCCTTCTTTTTTTCTTGTGGAATCCATCTTTTGGTCAACAGTGCACAACTGTGAGATAAATGGGTGTGAACACACTTGTATAAAATGTTATGTTTTAAAAATCTGCATAAAATTTCTTGGCCCAGTATGATCTTCTCTTTCTGGTTTCTTGAGTTTGTGCATGAACCAACTTAGTTAACAAAGCAATTCCATAATTACTGCTTTTTTATTTGAACATAATAACCATGAGTTTAATTTCCACATATTAAAATACATTTTTTTCCTGTATTTAAAATTTAGACGGAAGCATTTACAAATACAGAAGTGACCTATCACAACATGTTGTCCAGAGTTAAATCATTTGTTAGAGAGGTTACATCTTCTATTTGGGAAAGAGAACAAAAGCCCATTTTACAAAATAAAAGTTTTGAAACAAAGATAGTTGAATTCAGCTAACTGGTTAAAGTGCAGTGAAATTTCTTTCCCTCTTCATTAAAACAAATATGACATTTTTAGTGAGAAAGTGTTTGACTACAAAGTTCTAATTTGACTTAAGTTATTTCTAAGGATTCTGAATCATCATAATTAAGTGTTATTTGACAGAAAATTCTAGGTTGGCATTTTTATTTTTAGTTTTGACATGATTTAAAGCATGCTACTTACCAAGTTAAGTGATAATGTAACATTCTTAGCAAATTTAATTTATATTTTAATCTCCATAAAGTACTAGTATTTAAATATGTACCTTATGAATAAAATTTACCTAATTCCAGTAGGTGCTGTAAATTTAATTTTTTCAGAACTAGA